CACCTGTGAAAACTTGCGAAAGAAGATCTGTTTTCAACCACTCAAAAACTTGCTAAGGAGTTAGATGTTAGTGATATGTCCATTAGTTGCACTATGCATCATCACATAAACTTGATGTACATATTCAATTGCTGGGTGTCACATAAGCTGACTCAAGTTTATAAGGACAGACGTGTTCGGGCCTGCATTAATCTGCTCTATCAATGCAAGGACAAAATTCTGGACCGGATCGTCACTTGTGTTGAAAAGTGGATTTATTTTGACAACACAAGTTGAAAAGAGGTTTGGTCTGCTCTCAGTGAGCCTACTGCAGAATGCAATTTGACTAACAAAAAGATCATCCTTTGTATCTGGTGTTATTGCCATAATATCCACAAAGTGTATCTCGGAAAAGGTAAAACCCTCAACAGTTCAGGAGGTGTACAGCAGATGCTAGTGTGTGCTGGCACTGCTATCAAGGGAAAACATCAAACTGAGTTTCGGTGCAAAAAGGTAATATTTCATCAAGATAATGCACGACCAAGTGTATCTGCATTCACCGGCTGGACTCTATGGATTCGAATAGGATCTTTTGCCACACCCACTATATAGTCCCGACATCACTCCTTCGGACTTCTACCTTTTTTCACACCTGCAGCTATATCTTGCTGGTGCTATCTTCCATTCTGCACAAAAATAATCAATGATCAATTTATAATGTTGGGTCTCCTAATGTTAAAACAAATAGCATGTGTGGTATTTAAAAAAAAAATTAATGATTTGGAGGCTTCTCACAATTGTGACCCCATAAATCTGCCACTGGGGTATATTTAGTACAATTACATATTACAAAAACGCAAGTTAAAGCATGACACTGCTTGCAAGGACATGAAACAATTAAAAGTTATGAACTACTATTATTAATTAGCAGTTCTCATGCAGAGTTCATAGCCCAAGCTCATCTGATTTGTTAAAATAATGGTGCATGCTCTCAAAAGGTAAAATAGCCCCTTTCAAATATATGAGAATATACTGAAAAATAGGGTATTAGTCTAGTCCTACTAGTTCTGGAAGAGTGGCATTCATTCCACCAAATTCTAATTCATTACCTTATTAAAAACATGAAATCATATTGCATTATGTATATACAAATTAGGAGAGATCACAATCCCTCTTACTATCAAATATCTGCACTTTGTAAATTTGATTTCTTTCACAATAAAATTTTGTGCTTCAGGTATTCATCATTTTGGTTTGCATTTATGTATTACGATGCTATGGACCACCCAAATAAATTCAGTCAATTTTGCTCAACAGTCTGATAAATCAGTATTTTTAAGCAATATAGCACAAGAATATGCAAGTCATTATCAGAGATGGTGGAAGTTCATGATAAACACACTAGACACACAACCAGATTTCTTGGCTAACATCATATGGACAGAAGAAAGGGTATTTGACCATAGTGGGCTGTTAAACCAATGCAACCTGCACTATTGGTACTAAAAAATCCATTATGGTAATAAAAGGTTCATCATTTGATGTAATGGTTCCTCCATGTCTGTTATGAGATTTGGAATACTTCCTCATAATGCCCATGTTCTATGATGAAACCTTAACAAGATATTTGGAATGACTACAAAAAGCTGATAGTGTGAAGTTTCTTGTCAGACAATTTCAGGCTTAGAATCTTAGCTTATGGAAGAAACGTAAAGTGGCCCCTCAGGTCACCTGATCTAATCCCACTGCACTTCATGTAGGATTATGTGGAACACTAAGCATACAGCTTGCCATCCTGTGACGTTAATTATCAACAAACCGATATTAACCAAGTATGCAGTAACATATCTGAAATGCTGCAGAACATACAGCAAGAAGTTCTAATTGGAATACAGATGGTATACATATAAATCATGTTTAAATTAGTATTGAAACTTCAAAATTGTAGAAGATTATTTTTTCATCATAATATTATAGTGCTTTCTGAATATCTTACTGTAATAAACTACATTTTGCTGACTTATGTTAACTTTATTAGGATATTCACATTTACTTTGTAATGTCACAGGTTACAATTAGCTATGCATTTATGCCAGTAATCAGATACTGAGTTACATGCATTTCTAGACTTCTGTTCAAAATATTGATATACATAAGGTGCTATTTTGTATTCATGGTATTGCTGGAGTCAGTCTTAGCTTAATCATTTTAGTAGGTAGATACAACTTTTAAAATTCTAATATTTTGTGCTCGAAAGTTATTTTAGTGTTTAAGGTCTTTGCTATACATCCTGCACACACACATGCATGAATGATTTTGAATTTCATAATAATAATATTGCATAATTATGAATTAATTTTTGAATTAATTTTATAACATGAATTTGCATTTTCTTTGTAAAAATATTCTATGTTCATAATAAATGAAGCTGGGAGAAGAAAAGACTATTAATGCTTTTTAGAAGAATAAAATTTATTTCAAGACTTAACAAAATACAAAAATGTTCAGTTTTTTTTCCCACTCTTTGAACTTTGAGCTTTTTTTGAAATAGTTTTATTAACTCCCATGTATTTCTGTCTGTCTTCCCTGTAAAGAATATGTTCATCATTTATTTGATAATTAAAAAAAAAAACTACACATAAACTATCTCATATTTTAATTAGATTCAAAAACCAATTTTTGATAGAATCAGAACTAAACATTTAGATAAGCATTCACCTGAACCAAGTGTTATTTAGATAAAGATAAACCTTTGTTAAAATAGTTTAATAAAACGATTTGTTATGCTGGCAATAATGCTGTCTGCTGTTATGGGGAATTAGTTCTATTTCTCCAGCAATGCGATCTTCAGACTATTTGCATCTCTAGAAGGTGGATGTGTCCATGCAACTGCTTTTCTAAGGTAGTTCCATAAGGTTAAGATCAGGAGATTTTTCTTACTACAGAATTCGCTCAATGTTTTCACTTTCAAAGAATTCATCCATGAAATTTGCTCGACGTAGGTGAGTAGTATTGTTCAAAAATAAAAAGTCAGATCTATATGCACTTCTAAAAAGTCTTACATAGGGTTCTAAACCTCATCCCGATATCTTTGTCCAGTCACAGATCTGCTATTGAAAGCTTAGAGATGTATGTCCATCATCAAACCTGCATTACCAAAACAGACACATTTAATGGAAAATTTCACATTCCTGACTTCCTCTCTCATGTTTAGAATCAGATGAACTAAATCTTGGCTAATCATTAAAGAGAATATAGAATCATTGCTATGTTCTTTGCACCAATTAAAGCAATCTCTTTTCTGTTGTGAAGACTGTGAAACACATACTCTTGACTTTCTGGCAAAGAACTTTTTCATTAGGCCTTTCGTATACAGTTTGCTGTGATATCACAGTTCCAGTGGTGGGTGCAAGCTCTAAACTTAACTGCCAAGCAGTACACTTCCTGTTATGACCACCAGTTATTGCCAAATATCAATCCAGTTATTGCCAAATATCAATCTTGAGAAGCAGTAATTATTTGTTTATGACCTCGTCCAAGGACTTCTTACAACAAGAGTTCTGAAATTGTTTCCATAGCTAGCAGACTCTCTGTCTGGAAATATTCACACACCTCACTGCTTCTATGATTGTCTGCCCTGCTTCTAAATGGCCGATCATCTGGCACTTCACAGATTCTTTCAAATGATACTTCAAAACCACAGCAAACTGTTTGGACACATTTTAATCAAATGTTGTATTGCGTGAATTCACTCAGATGTTCGCTTTGCGTAAAATGATTGATTCGTTGTCAGAATGACATAATGCATTTATTTGCATATCAGAAACTGTTTGGTCACTTTTGATTGAATAATTCTAATTAGGCTTATCTTTCACACATTCCTTGCACAAATGGAATACATTCATCAGATATTTCATGGAATGTTTATTATTTTGGTGATAATGATATTCCATGACTATTATTTTTGTGATTCAAAAGATAATTGGGATAGAACATTCACATATACCATTATTTTCGTGATCCGAAAGATAAATTTGGATAGAAGTAGTTCAGTTTAGCATTCAGTCTTAAATAATTGTATAAGACAATTTGGGTGACACTTATAGATTTTAGAAACAATTGTAATGAATTGCTTGCTATAGCAATGGAAATGACCTCTAATATGGCAATCTTAATTTTTTTATAGCAATGGAAATGACCTGCAATATGGCAATCTTAATTTTTTAGAGTATTTTCGTGGCATGTAGCTTTTGTCTTTTACATGTTAGCTTCTCATGTTTTATTCTTTGTTACAGTAATATTGTATTTGCTTTTTAAAATTTATATTTCATTCATAAATATGTTAACTATTTCCAATTTATCATCAATTGAAAAAGAAAAGGCTATTCTGTTTTTCTATAAAAAGAAAATTCTGAATGAACTAAATTTTATGAAAATAATCGAGATGTGAAACTTTCAGTCTTTTATATATATTATATATGTATACTAATACATCTTACATATATATAATTGTCATTTAAAGTATATATATTTATATGTGTACTTTAAATGACAATTTGGTTTAAAGTATATTTGTCATTGCTTTTGAATTTCGGATTAGCATGTAATGGTTTTAGACTTTTCTTTCTTTCTTTTCTTTTTTTTTTTTTTTTTTTAAATGGTGAATTTGCATAATGTAAAGTTTTAAGGGTTTTTTTTTTTTTAGTAGTCAATTTGGCACAATGTTTTGTTTTATTCTTTTTTTCCAAGTGTTTTGAAAGTGCGTAGGGAAAATTCTGGTAGATTTGTGATTCCATTTTTTAGTTATATGAATCTTAAAGTCTTAAATGAAAATTTAGTAGAATCTTTTTTTGGTTTTTGATCTCAAATGAACCAGGAGAATGAAACATATTAATCTACTTTTATGAAGCTTTAATTCATTTTCCCCTGAAGAGTTCTGAATTGGAGTTTCAGAGAAAGGAGATGAATTTTTATTTTTATAATTTTGTATATTTTCCATTTCACATTTTTATTTTTTGAGTTTTTCTACAGGGTTTGTACACATTTCTGCACACGGAAATTAAGTACTTTTAAGGACCATTAATGAAAAAAATTAAGGACCTATAAGCAAATGGGAACTGAATAAATTCAATTAACAATATTATTCTGTGCCTGAATCTCACTTTTGTAATATCATCCTAAAAATAAAATAGATTCATAAGTAATACGCATTATTATTAAACATGAACAATTAACATAATTATTAATAATTTGAGAATAAATAAACTTTCATGCAGTTTATCAAGTAGCATTAAATATTTACACTTATAATAGGTAGGACATATTTGAAAGAAGATAAGTGACATTTACGTTTTTTACTAATAGTTAGCTTTATGTTGATTTTTTTTTATGTCTCATTTTGTCACTACTTGGTCAGTCTAGAGCAGAGGTTCTCAACTGTGTATGCGTACCACTGGTGGTATGCAAGAAGAAAATAGGTGGTACCAAAGAAGCAAGCAAATTTTTTTTTTTGAAACTATTTATTTCAAAAATTAAAACCCCAACATCCTGATTGAGTTTCTTCTCTAACACTCGTAAATTTATCCGATCTGAGCTTTGTTCAAGAGTGGTGGTGGTACTAAAGGTTTTCAATTTTTGTTTAGATGGTACACGTTAGTCAAAAGGTTGAGAATTGCTGGTCTAGAGGTTTAGTAAATAGCAGGTACGTTTCATGTCAAATGGCATAGGTTAAAATGAGAAGTAAGATCATAATCAGCGTCATTCATAACAAAAGACTAAATGTTATCACCGCTGCTGATTGTTTAGAGAAAGAAACCTGCTGATTAGAACAAACCTGAAAGGCCTGATGTACTAGGCACAGTTGGCAAGTGCTGAAAGTTAGTCAGGCTCTGTTTGATGTAGTTAGTGGCCTAGCTTTGTGTAGAGTCCAGGGGTTGTAACCCAGTTAATATAACTTTCAGGTTCCAATAAGCCATTAAAGCACCAGAGGTGATAAGTTGTTTTGTATTATTTTAAGTCTCACTAGATGCAAAGAATATGTTTTACTTGAATTTTTACATTTTTGTGCTTCATCTTGTGACTACAGGGAGTATTTAGAGATTTGTCTCAATATGCAAACCAATGCTCTCGCTACTTTCTGCACGCTTTGTCTCCTAACTTGTAAACTTCTCCACAATGTGCCTATGAGGGTTTACTTCATCTGGTAAAAGTTAAACAGTCCAAAAACCCCAACAGACGTGAAGCAAATTATCACTATGTCTGAAAGTAACTACAATATGACAAAGGTTTAAATAAGCCTCTTATTTAAAAAGAACTTAGAACAAACATAAAGGCATGTTCTGATGCTAACAAAGTCAATTACATCTCACGGTGGTGTAATTAAACAAGAACGGTCAAATTCAAACTTAAAATGTGGATGAGTGGTCAAAGATTATACAATTTAATTTTAATTTAATCTGGCTCAGTAACTCTATCATATGAGGAAACAGAAATGGAAAATTGTAGTAAAGGCTGAAATCATAAACAATTGGGTAATTTACATAATAATAACTGCACATATCTTTGAAGAATAATTTTCTTTATGTATTCAGTTTTTTTCTTCAGCACATTTCCTTTACATTTTAGAATTTTTGGATTTAATTAAGAATTTCTGTTTTTTTAAAAAACACTAAATGCATTTAGAATGTATAGAAAAAGTGACTAATTTAATTTCTTTAGTAATATGGAATTCAAAAGAAATATGAAATATATATATATAGTAAATAAAGGCCAGTTACAGAGCTGGTGTAGCAGAATTTTTAGAATTTAGTGACACACCAAACAGCAAAATCTACAAATGCCAAAACTTTAAGAATTTAGACAGGCACTACAAGCAGAATTTAGATAGGTACTATAAAGTCGAATTTAGGATCCACAGAGATTTCATCAGATGGGAAAATGCCTAGTGCCAGCTCTGTGTATGATGCATTAGATATTTTAAATTGTAAGTTTTCAATTTCTTTATAAATAAAAAAAAAATCCCTTTCTATGATGCCTGCCCAAGTGATAAGATTAGAAGCATTTTTGATATTTTCCATGCTTGTGTATAGTGAAAAATAGAGAATATAAAGGGAAGATAAACATGTTAAGAAAAAGATTCTAGTATCAGGAGTAAAACATTCAAATATTATGTCTTCATTGTTCTTCCAGATGTTCTCCAAAAAGTAAGAAATTCATCACAAACTTTCTGTAAAGTACATCCATTACGTACTGATACCATGGAGACATTTTTCATTTTATCACATATTTCTCGAATCTTCTAGAATTGTGAGTCTATAAATCTTGCCTTCAAATTCTTCTAAATTTTCCAAGCTGCAATATCAAAAATACTGAAGAAAAATTATCCCAACCAAATCTGTAACAGCAAAATGCCAGAAATATTTTGGGGAAAAAAAAGAGAGGGAAAGAGTGTAAAATTAATTTTATAGAGAAAACTGATGCATATTCTGAGAATTTTGAATATTCTAAGACAATTACATGGAAAAAACGCTTACTATGAAAAAATTAAAAAGGTATTTTTAATTACTTACATATAATTTGCTTTTTCTAAGAGCTGTTTCATAATTATGCTTTATAGCATTATACCTTGTTTATTTTTCAGATTCAAAATATTGTATAAATTGCCAAAATGGAGCTTTACAATATGACAGTGAAAAATAAAAATGTTTTATTTTAATGTTATTTTTTAAATATAATTCCAATACATTATCATTATTTTAATCAAATTTGTCAAAGTTATGATGTTTTAAAAAAAATCGTCGAAAAATTCTCAGATCTCGGAATTAAAAGTTTTCTATAGAAAATTATCTTAAAATCGCCAAAATGTTGACAAGTCGCTAAATTTAAAACAATTTAATGAAAGAATTCACATTCCCAAAAGTGAAAAGTGTTTAAGTGCTCTTTATCACAAAAAATGAATTTCGAAATGCTTATGTTTCACTTCTTGCTTAAAAACTCGAGTATCCCATCATTTATATTAGAAATAGAACCAAATTATAATGCATGAACCCATTCAAAAGATTACCATATACGTCAGTGAATTGCTAAAAATATTACTCCAAAATGCTAATTCACACTCAAAATGGCAGTCGTAAAAGCAAACAGAATTTAGTGATTAAAATTAAGCACCTTCTACTGATTTTGGCCAAAATTAAGGACCTTTAAGGACCAAAAATCGATTCCAAAAAATTTAAGGACTCTTAAGGACCGTACGAACTCTGTTCTAATATGAATTCTTATTTTAATTTTGATTTGTTTAGATACTGTGTTAAACCTCTTATATACAGTTACAATTATTAATATTGTTGAAAAGTTGCCTAGCATTGATTCCAATTTAATATTAACTGTAGGTGCTTTAAGTTTATTCCACTTCAATCCTGCAGCTATAGTGCAGGACAGGTTTAAAATAAAAAAAAAAAAAAATTTTTAAATTAACAAAAATTTTCATAGGAAACTAAAGAACTGCTCAAATATCCAATCAAACATGCTACAGGCCAATATAAAGTTGGTAAAACTGCTTTTGTACATAGGAAAAGCAATGCTAGAAGGATCTTATTTTAAAAATGAGCATTCAAAGTATGTGCAATGAAACTGGAAAATGTTTTCTGATTAAGTTTTTAACAGAAATGCTAAAATAATTTTGAAAAATGTCATTTGGAGTCCTATCTTGCTGAATTTATATGGTGGAAGAATAACAGCTGAGAAAATTATTTTGAATATATTTTTGCAACAGTTACAGAATTATGGCTGCCAAAAATGTCTTGTGTTTAGATTGCCAGCCTTTTGGTGAATTAGTTAATCCAAATATCTTACTGATACTGAAAACAGGTTTTAGTGTTCTCTATCTCGCATTGCAGCTTGTGTAGATATTAATATATCTTTATATGGCTTTGAATATTCTTAATTAGCAAAAAATTTAAGTTTTGTAAATAAACAACTCACCTAGACATCTGAATTTTATTCCTGCATCCTTTTCCACCTTCCCAATGAGAACCTGCCTTCTTTGTCAGGTCTGCTGAGCAACCGAAGCAGGGTTTATCTTTACTGTATGGCTAAAGCAAGAGACATATCAGAATGTGCTTTATAATTCAGCATAATGCTCTAAACTAATTTACAATATACCCATTAAAATATTAACTAAGTAATGCATCTTAATATACCTGTTCTTTAGCACAAAATCCACAAATCATTCGAGAAGCAAACTTCATTTCATGATCAGTTTCTTTTTCATTGTGACAAACATCACAAGGATAAACTCTTCCACAGCATGGAAATCTATAAAGAACACTCTAAATAAGATAGTTGAAAACCAAATAATAAACAAGATTTTCATATAATATTTACATATTACGGTTTATAAAAGACATAAATTTCAAAAATAACAGATACATCATACATTCAATTCAAAAGAACTAAAATAGCCAATTATAACTAAGCATATGAGGCTCTTCCTTGCTTAACATCAGCTTTTCAAAAGGACTTAGATAAGTGGATTTTAAGTGTCTGCAATCCACACAGATATTATTGCATTCATAAACATCCATGCCTTATCAGAATTTTAAATTCAAGTCTATTGGCAACTAATCTTCACTAATTCTAAAACTAACTAAAGCAACTATTCAACTACTTTTAATTAACTTAATTTATTTCAGCAGGCAATAAGCAAATGATATGCATTCGACCATATGAAAAGAAGTATGCAAATATAACACATGCAAGTTTCAAAAAATTATTTTTACTGAGCATTTAAACAATAAATGATTTAAATCAGTAAATTTACATATTTATTAACACTTACCTTAGCCAGCGGAAGCTCTTTTTGTAATGCTTGCATGCTCCACATTGGGGAAGAGGCTCTCCTTCTTTTACAATAGGATCTTTAGTTTTCTGGATTTTTTTAGCAGGTTGATATTTGATAGCTGAAGAAATATATTAAAAAAATAAAACAAAAAGTGAAATAATATACTGGCTCTGAGGTAAACAAAATAGAAAATATAAAAATCACATTTTGTGTGCTAGCATTAAGAATATGAGCTACAAAATAACTACTGTGAAAGAACTTGTCAGCCTTCCAAGTCATGGAAGACAACACTGTAGCAACAGAAAATGTGATATGGCAAAACTGATGCATCATAATTAAGAAGGTGGCACTACAACTGGATCAGTTCATAACATCATTCATGACAAAATGAAAATCTAAGAAACATGTGCAAGATGGATATACCAGGACTTAACACACGAAATGAAACAGCAACGACACTTCAAACTGCTTCTACAGTACAGAGTCTGAGATTCAGACTCAACAGGACTTCAGTGATTCAGAATAACAAAAGAGATATGAGTTTTCTGAAGATCTGCTAGGAGATAAAATTACAATGGTCAACATGTGGATAAAAATGCAGTCTTCTAAAAGCAGAACTGCAGGGGATCCTCTTAACTGCTTGTGTGTGTGTTTTGTGAAGATGCTTTGCCCATCAATGACCTGATGGAGATTTTTCTTTGGTCTGTTTTCACTGTTTAAAATTTCATCTCCCCCCCCCGTTTTGAAAGTTAACAAAAGTTTTGATTTATTAGCACGGATGTGAGTCATTTGCAAGGGGTCAAAATGATGGGCATTATTAATGACAGTTTTCAAACTGAAGGAAGAATTTTACCTTAATATTAGTAAATAAGTTTTAGTTAGCCAACCATAAATATTATTTGGGTGTGTTGTGAGATATCCTCTGAAATACTTCAGTTACAGAAGTCCGATTTGGTTTGATTTTTCAAGAAGGGATGGAAAAATTTAGAAGTGGAGCCTTCTTTTAGGGAACAGTCTGTCATTCTTGCCAGATGTCATGACTCCCACATTTCTTGGATAAGCTAAGATTTTTGAGTGGCCAGTGGCGATGGGCCTGCATCTAGTAGAAAGAAGTCACTATAAATGGTGTAGCTTGCTTGTTACAGCTTGAGAACATTTGCTTGCTTCAACAGTTGGCAGCTTTGTCTCCTAGGCCAGGTGAAAACACATTATGGAAGGTTAGCAGTTTGAGTAGATGCAAGTCATTTCAAGAAGTCATCATAAAACAGAGGGAGCACTGGATTTGTTTTGCCCATCTAGAAGCATCAAGATCAGAACTATGCTATGATGCTGCTTTGCCCAAGTGCGTTAGAGTTTATCTACAGCCTGGGAAGGTGTGATAATTTCATATCAAAACTCTTAACATTGCCTGCTTTACATAAGTTTTTTTGCAGCTGGGAACTAGTGAGGTATCATCTTTCCTCTCTGTATTGTTTTAGCAGTCAGTTCTAAATTGTGAGTATATGGACTGCAGAAATAAATGGATATTGCAAGCTGTTTTTCTTTTTGTACTCTTATACCACAGTGTGTTTTGTTATTGAGGATAGTTTTTATTTTACCTTAATTAATTTATATAAAAGGAGTCCTAAACTTTGTAATTGATGGAAAATTTCAGTCTGTTTAAATTATTTTCAAATTTTTAAATAAAATATAATTATGTTAATGTAATGTCTTATAATAATTTGAATGAATTAATTTAGCTTTCAAGGATATGTACTCAGTTAACTTAGTTAATATCAATCACCATTAAACATTAGAAGCACACATTTCACCTTGAATTCCTGAAAATCCCTTTACCTTAAGAATAGGGATTGCAATTTCGGACCAAAAGTTCAATACTGGTATTCGATATTTTTTAGTTCCTAATATCGATAGAAGGAATTTTAGAAAATGAAAGAAAACACAGGTGTTTCTTCATTTTATTTGAAGTTTTATTAGACAGTAAATATCACAAAAAATCATTTGTAACTTCTAAATTATAAAAGCATATAAAGAATCACAGAAAAGTAAAGAAACAAGAAATATCTTATGTATTTAAATCACAAAAAAGTGTAGACATCACTATTCAGTCTGTGGTACTATTACAAATTTTTGAAATGTAATCTTAAAAAACATCAATTGTGCTGTCATTAAGCCTGGAACGTAATTTTGTGCAAAAATTACCAGATGTCAAAAACTCTCTTTCAGCATCTACGCTTGTTAGCAATGCATGATATACTTTCTCCAAGTATATCGTGCATTGCTAACTACCTCTAAATCCCTCATCTTCAAATAAATCAATTTCTCTTTGGATGGTTTTTGGCTATAACTGATTTCTGTATTGTATTTTGGTTTGTTGAAATTTCTTCCGTTATCGCTAATTCTAATTTTTGTTCCAAGAGTCAATTCCTTTTCACTATCAATATCGACATTAGTGTCATTATCATCATAACTCTATCAAATTCTTCTGAATGTGAATAGGCTTGTGCGTAAAAAATTTTAAGAAAATTTACTATAAACATGATCACATTTAATTTGGTTAGTCTCTTTTCTTCTTTCTCATTTTGATTTTTAAAATCATTATAATTATGAAAATATCGTAAGACAGTTTCTATTTCGGTATGTCTTTTTCCTGTGCAATTTTTCAATGTAATATATAATTCTTCAGATAGTGATGTGTGCTGTTTTTTCAGTGACTGCAACATTAAATTTATTGTTGCATTAGCTGTTAATAAATTAGAATCTATCTGACATAATGCTTCTACAGCCAGTTTTATTGTAAGTAGAGCTGGTACAGTTCTGGGTATTAAGTCGAACTCGCTATCGAAAAAATTAATTTGCAGGTTTAAGTCGATTATTGCTTTTTGGATTGAACTTTTCAGTTTCAAAAATTGTTCCATCATTAGGAGTAAACTGTTCCAATGTTTTTTAGAATCTAATATTAACATATGTTCTATTTTATTTTCAATTAGTATATATTTTTGTAATGAGGCATTTTTTTTAGGGGAATGTTTAAATATCTTAACAATTTTTTGAACTATATTAATTATAGGAAGCAATTCTTGATGAGACAATATTTCATTCTCATTAGCAATATCTTCTTCAGCAATTACATTGCCATTATCTTCATTGTCAGTGTAGCTCTCACTCTCTTCAAAGTTGGAATCAGAAGTTTCTATATTCACAGTATTTGGGTTCTTCTTTTCTTTCTTTCTTATATATATATATATATATATATAATACAGCTATTAGTCCCAATTGAATTCCATGAGCATAGCACAATTGCTGATTTGCACCAATCAACTTTTTTCATAACTGTTGCTCCATCAGTTGTTATGGATATAATATTTTCTTTCAGGGATAATCCATGTTTCCCTAATTTAGATTTAAGCACTTCCACACATTTTTTGGCTGACATACTTCCTGAGACATGTGCAAGTCCTATATTCCAAAATTTTTTTCTTGAGTGAATATTTGTATTTAGATAGCATCTATTTCTTACACTTGTACATTCATCAAATGTAAAGCTAAATTTTTCACCATTTACTTTCAATTCAATTAACTCATGTTTTAAAGAATTGCGAACACCGTTACTGTAGTTTATAATAGTTCTCTTTATAGTGTTAATCGATGTTCGCATATTTTTTAAACTTCTTGTGGATAGTGATTTTCTTAATTCAGTAGAAGTGCAAAACACTCAAAATGACAAACCATGTAATGCTGTTATTTTACTAATAATTTCATCCAAATGATCTTTTTTTTTTTTTTTTTTTTTTTTTTTCAAAACAATCTCAAATCCCTGATGGCTTAAACTTAGAAACTGTGCTTAAATTTGTATCTTCATCGCAATTAGATTCTTTCCTCTTTAACAAATTTGCATCATGTTTCATTTTTAAATGTGTATGTAGTTTCATTATACAAATAATGAAACCAAACCGAAGTATTGTCAACAGATTTTTTTTATGTTCTTTAACCCGTAACAGGGGATGTGCGGTCTGACGGACCGCGCCACATGTTCCTCCCATCACCCCTATTGCATGCTTTGTCCAAGTGAATGGATTCTTTCCCTAGCTTCACGTTTCGTGACCTTCTTTCTGACCCCTCAGCCCTGATCTTTCTGACCCTGATCTTATCGGAATGCTTTGGCAAGTGTATCTGTTGAAATTCTTTAGAGAGGTCTGTGAGACCTCACCTCCCTCTCAGTGTGTTACAATTTTCGGCAGTAGTGACACATGGCTCTGAAGTTAGGTCCGCGGAGATTCATTATCCTTTGATCCACGTTATGCAGAAGAACTGAAAAAAAATTCTAGATGAAGTTGGAAGTGATTTTAGTGAAAGAAGATGACTTTGAAGAAATTCTGCGAAAAAAGGCGAGAGTGGTTTTGATGTCATCATTGCATCATTCGATAGAAACAGACTCGAAACACAGAAACCTGAAATAATTGGTTTTTATAACAGAACCAAAGGTGGGTGTGATGCTTTTTAGATGAAAAACGTTCTGTCCATTCCTGTAGTAGTGAGAACAAAGCCTAGGAGCTATGGCTCTTTTCTACCGGTAGTAGATATGAGTACAGTAACGCATACATTTGCACCAAGGTTATAACAAAACCTTGTTATGACCAGAATGGTGTTTTCGAAAGAATTAGCGAGAGAATTAGTTAACCACTACTACACACGAAAGGGAAAAATCCAGAATAAATCGAGAATTGCGCCTTGATGATAAGCGGGATTTTAGGAAAAGAAGCTAAGGATGTGGAGAAGTGTACAAAAGAAGCAAATTAAAATCAAGGAAAAACATGTCATCTGTGCTCCCAAGCAGAAAGAAAGACAGTATATTATGTTTATCTTGCCAAGACCCTGTTGTTTGGAATGCACACAAAGTTATGCAATGAATATGCTAAGAAGACAAAAACTAAAGTTTATATCAGAAAAATCAGTGATACTGTATTTTAGGATGTCAAAATTTTTCTGTATTGTGCTACATACAATTTTGCGGTAAAATTTGCTTTGAATATTAACTATATAGATAAAATAGTTAATTCAAAATAGACATTCTTATTTTTAGTTTTATAGAATTTAGTGCAGGAATATGATTTCCTC